GAAGGGACCTCAGAAGTCTTTTAGTCCAACCCAGCAGGAGATCCTATTCCATTCTAGACAAATGGCTATCCAGTCTCTTCTTGAAAGCCTCCAGTGATGGAGCACCCGCAACTTCCGAAGGCAAGCTGTTGCACTGGTTAATTGTTCTCACTGTCAGGAAATTTCTTCTTAGTTCTAGGTTGCTTCTCTCCTTGATTATTTTCCATCCATTGTTTTGTTGTTGTCCCTTCAGGTGTTTTGGAAAATAGGTTGACCCCCTCTTCTTTATGGCAGCCCCTCAAATACTGGAATACTGCTATCATGTACCCCCTAGTCCTTTTTTCTCTAGACTGGTCATACCCAATTCCTGCAACCATTTTCACATGTTTTAATCACCAGGCCCTTAATCATCTTTGTTGCTCTTCTCTGTACTCTTTCCAATGTCTCAACATCTTTTCTATAATGTGATGACAACATTTGGATGCAGTATTTCAGGTGTGGTCCTACTAAGGTTTTAAAAAGCGGTACTAATCCTTCACATGACCTTGACTCTGTTTATTTGTTTAATCAAAAAGGGATTTTGATTAGGTTTGGGGGCCATGGAACAAAAATTCCTGAAACATTTCTCCAAGAGAATCCTGTAAGGGAGGGGAAAATTGATAATGCTGCTGAATGCTCTGCTATAAACCTGCCTTTCAGTCATATGACCAGAGTGGAATACATAGGTAGTCCTCCATGTATAACCATAATTGGACCAGCATTTCCACTGCTAATCATGACAGTTATAAGTGTCTTGTGAATCATGCCCAATTTTTGATCTTTTTTTTGCTATTCGTTTTGCGATTAAACGAATCTGGCTTCATCCATTGTCTTTGTTTGTCAGCTGGGAAGGTCAATCTTATGATCTAGAGCAGGGGTCTTCAAACTTGACAGCTTTAAGACTTGGGGACTTCAACTCCCAGAATTCCTCCTCTAGTCATGTAAGTTCAGGAATTCTGGGAGTTGAAGTCCATAAGTCTTAAACTTGCCAAGTTTGAAGACCCTTGATCTAGAGACATTGTAAATACATGCCAGTAGTTAAGCACCCAAATTTTGATCATGTGACTCTGAGGATGCTTTGACAGTCATAAGTGCGAAGACCAGTTGTAAGTCACTTTTCTTAGTACCGTCGTAAGTTTGAATGGGCATAAGTCAAGGACTTCCTGTATCTTTCTGATTAATTAACTAGATTGCCTTTCCACATCAGATTCACGGATCCAAGTCAGATTCATGTGGATCTGCCATCTAATTGGACACGTGTTAGAGGTGGCCTAAACTTATACTTTTAGAAAGTTAGTAATATTCACTGATTTAATTTCTAGAGAATCTCTGGAGAAAGCACTGAAAGGACAGCTATAATCAAGGAGAGAAATGGCTTTTTGGTTGAGGGCCATATTTAATCTTTGAGTAATTTATGGGGTGCTACACCAGAAATAAGGAGCCAGATTTTTTTTTTTAAAGAGAGGGTATCAGAAACATTACACATGATTTAACAAACGATTTAACAAATTACTAATTAAACTTAATACTACTGCTGATGCTTGGAAGATCTATAGGAACCATCCCAAGACTTTTAGAAACTATATGCAGCTCCAGATTGGATTCCACTGTTATAATAATACACTGTTTATGAAAAAGTGAACAAGAAAAAAGCAGAGCACTTGCGAAATGCAAAACGGAGATTCTAATTCACCAGAGGGACCAAAAAAGGTGTAACAATAAGCAGAGACTCTTGAACCTTGATCTGTCTGATGAAAATTTGCTGCATTTTGTCCTATTGCCACTGCCCTCTGCCCTTGTTGAGATGCCAATGCATAGCCTTATTGGGTACACAAATTAGTACCTAGTGGCCAAGTAGATGACAGAAACTTCATATAATGGCAACAGATTACTCAGAGGGTTAAGGTTAATGGACATACACACAGAGATAGATGACTGCCAGAGTCTCTGTTATTAAGCGGAATTAGGGAAAATGCAACACAAAAATTGCACAACTTTTGGAAAGGAAAACTTTTTTCTGTATCAATTCTCCCAAATCTTCAGCCGGTGCTTTCACAGCATGCTGCTCCACTATAATAGAGATGCCCCTAAATATTTATTGCCCTAAACAATAAAACACAGCATTGGAGATCTCACCAGCCTCTGGGATGTTGGTGACAAGCAGAGAAATCCACCATGGTAAATCAACTTCTTAATCTCTTATGGCCTTAAGTGTCAAGTTTCTACAAGTGACACACTCCCCTGAGCAATTAAACTGTCTCTTAGTATTCCATGATGCTGCAGCCAATCAGGTAGCCTGTATTTGTTCCATTGATTTATATAACAGAATTTTACTGATTGATTACTACTGTAGCAAACTTGAAGGAAGTAGCTTTACCCCATGGACCAATTAAAAGATAATACAGCGCCTCAGTCATATCTCAGCTGTAAAATGGACACAGGCCGATCTCCCAGGTGACTTTGCTATTGAATGTGTATAGTTGCATTATATAATCTGCTAGCTGTAACTTATAGAGAGTATTAATACTTTCTCGGTGCTTTCTGATCTCTCAATGCTACCATGGCTCCAGCTTTTATTCTTACCTATATTCAATGTTCTTTTTTTCAATGAATCCGTAAATCTCCCTACCAATTCCCCTCAATTTCAAACATAAAAAGCTGCCTAGTCAGATTGTTTCCACATATAACCCAATGCTGACTATAGCAATAAGCACTTAGACTTATATACCACTTTACAGCCCTTTCTAAGTGGTTTTGAGAGTCCACATACTGCCACCAACAATCTGGGTCCTCATTTTACCTACCTTGGAAGGATGAATGGCTGAGACAACTTTCAGCCAGTGAGGATCGAACCCCTGGCAGTCAGTGGGATTAACCTGCAATACTGCATTCCAGCCACAGTGCCACCATGGCTCTTTACTTGGCTTGCTCCTGTAGTTTAATCAAATAATTAAACTGAATGGAGAATGTGCCAGGGCATGCAACAGCAAAGAAGGCCCAACAGAAATCCTTTCCGTGCACCATATTTCCTGTCAAATGTCATTTTTCAGCAGGGATTCAGGCCATGCCAAAGTAGTGTTTCCAATCCCCACTGCAGAATGCCCCTACCTACCTGCCCCACCAAAGGGCATACTGGTTGGATCTCTCTGGGTCTGGTTAGTGGCTTTGCTGGTAAGAAAAAAAAAAGAGGAAGTGGCTCACCAGTTAAACACTTGTTTCTATTTTTAAATAAGACTCTGTGTGCTGCCTTGGTTCCTCTCCCTCCTTTCCTTTCTCTCCTCCCCCTCCCCACCTTTCTCCTGCAGCCTTTGCTTGCTCATGGATAAATCTATTTAGAGTCTACTTTGTTTCCTTACTGGTTTATTTAGCTACAGCCATGGATAACAAAAGGATGAAAATTGCAACTGTTTGTGTTAAAGGTTCATTTGCACCATAGACTATTCATGGCTATATCTGTCTTATGTCTATGGTTTTAATGCATATACAAAAATAGCAGCTATTAGCATCTAATAGAAAATAATCACATCCACCATATTAAAAGTGCTGTTCAGGAAGCACTTTTCTTACAGAGTTCAAATTCCACTGATACAGCACTTCATACTGAATGTATATCGAAGGCTAAATGCTAAAAAGAAATCTTTCTTCATCCAATGTACAGCCACACAAGCAAATCAACCAACTTTATTTTTCAATGTTGTGTCCAGTATAGAAACAAGGCTGGACTCTCAAAACTGTACAGACTAAATAAAGTCTCTGAGCATATGCAAACCTATTTCTCCCAGCCACAGATCTAGTCACAAACAGGCCCTACAAGATTTTCACTTTCAAGGTTAGATGTTATCGAGATATCATCTTGACACCTGGTTATAGAACATTTGAGCCCACGTTTCAATCGAAAGGCGCACGAAAGAAAGCATTCGTCTTTCTTTTAGACTTCAGGCACAATTTGAAGTTGTCTGGCATGTTAAAATAGAACGTCCCTAATTATAAACAAATGTAACAGCGCATCAACATGGATAAAAATCATACTCAACCCACACATTTATTTGTTTAGGAAATGTCAGTGCTGTTTGGAAATGGATGCTTCCTGAAATTCAAAAAACAAAAAGAAAATACATTCACCCTAAAAAAAAAAAAAAATAATAAAATCAATGGGTTAAGCTTTTACAAGAGAACCATCCATGTTTAGACAGATGGGAAGCAAAAGGCAACCAGGTGTGCTGAAGTGGGAGAACCAAAAAGAAAGTGGTTTCAAAGCATCGTGGAGACGGTAAGAAAAGGGGAAATTTCAGTTATCAACTTACTTTCCTTCTTTTTGGCTTTTTCACTCTGACCTCATTCGCCAACCGCAGCAGAAAAGGAGAAGGTGGGGGTCCCCTTTCCCACACACACCTCTCAGCATCTACCGCAAGCAACGATTTGTGCAACTCAGCCTGGAAAGAAGCCCTCCCCCCGCAAATACACACACACACACACACACAGACAGAGACCCACAAACACAGCAAGAAAATACCGCCGGAGAAAATGACAAGTCAGAGACACCGGTAACATTGAGAGAGAAATCTCCGGGGATCGAAGGCGAGGAAACGATCCCCTTCGATCCCGGGTCACCTCTCGGAGAACAGATTCCGCCGCCCTCCCCCCTTCTTTTCCAGGCCTCTCCCCCACCCCACAACTTCTTTCATTGAAAATAATCCCATGTCAGCCTCTCTCTCCCCTCCCTCCCTCCCCAAAGGCTGGCCGAGCGGTCGCACCATCAAGGAGAACGGGAGGAAAGCAAAGGGGAGGAAAATGCAAAGCGGCTGTCGTCGATCACGCGAATAATAATCCCCATCATATTTTGTATAAATAATAATAATAATAAAATAATAATTATAATTATAATAACAACAACAACAACAATGCAGATTATTGGGGAGATTAGAGGGATGGAGGAAAGCGGAGCTGGAGGATTGAAAAGTTTTTTGTTTTTTTTTCCTTACCGCAAGGGATCAGCCTCTCCCCGGCTCCTCCCGCCCGGATTGCAGGGTTGAAGAATTAATCTGTAAAGACGAGAAGGAAGGAAGGAAGGAGAGCGAGAGAGAGAGAGAGAGAGGAGGAGGAGGAGGAGGAGGAAGAGGAGAATGGGAGATTGGCGAGCGGGGGGGCGGGGGGGGAGGGCTGGGCGATTCTCACCCGGGCTGCCTCCGGGAGGGGAGGACGGATGCAAAAGGGAGGAGGGGGTCCTGGGCCAGGCAGAGGCCCCCCATGCAGCCAGCCCCTGCTCCCGGGGGCTGCAGACAAGGCGAAGGGGAGGGGGCCTCTTTGTTCTGTAATCCCAGTAAGATTGCAAGCCATTCGCCCCGGCTCTAATCCCAGCCCAGCTCAAGAGCCGCCTCCATTGGCTGTCATTTACATACAGGATTAAGAGGCAGGCTGGCGGGTAGGCTGGCGAGGGGGGGGAAGCGGAGGAGAGGCAGAGATCGCAGGAGGTTTCGCGGGTTTCGCGGGCTTCCCTTCGGATTCTTTCCCCCCCCCCCCGCGCGAAGCCGGAGCGAACCGGGGTTGGTGGGTGGGGGGAGAAGGGAGAGAAAGCGGGAAGATCTGAGGGAGCGAGGAAGAGCGAATTATAGAGGAAGTTGGCAGGATAATCGCTTGGGGTTGCAGAGTGGCCACGGGTAGTCCTTGATTTGCGGCCGTCATCGAGACCGAAATTTCTGCTGAGGCCTTGGCCAAGCGAGCTTTGCTCCCCTTTACGACCTTTCTTGCCACATCGGTGAAGACAATGAATCACAGCCCTTGTTAAGTTAGTAACAGGGTGAAGTTGGCTTCCCCCCCACCCCTGTTGACTTGGCTTGTCAGGACGTTGCAAAAAAGGGGGATGGAAATGACCTTGGGGCACCGCCACTGTCATAAATGTGAGTCAGTTGCCAAGTTTGATCGTATGACCATCGGGATGCCGCAACAGTCATAACAGTGAAAAATGGTCATAAGTCACTTTTTTCAGGGACGTCGTAACTTTGAACGGTCACTAAATAAATGGTCGTAAATCGAGGACTACCTGTATTTCTCACCTTAATCTAAAGGTGGGCTGTTAATCGAGTTCAAAAGAGCTGGTAGGTTGGGTAAGGGGAGGGCAAGGCAAAGAGCAGCAGGGAGGGAGGAAACGACTTTACAGATGGAAAAAGATTTCACTCATCTCAGCATCTCCAGGTTTTTTAAAAAAAATCATTTCTGGATTACCTTTCCAATCCACCAAATAACTAAAATATATTCCTTTCCTTAAAGGTTCTTGGAGGAGAAAAAAAAGACTGATAATAAAGAAATAGATCTGCAGAACTAGTAGTAGTAAAGCCATTGAGAGTCCTCGGGGCTCCCTAGACCGCAAGTCTGACTCACATGGGAGTATATCATCCATGGCAGATGAAAAAAGGAGATCCAGTTTTGGTTGCCACCGTAAAGAAAAAAAAGAGGTTGAGACTCTAGAAAGAGTGCCGAGAAGAGCAACAAAGATGATTAGGGGGCTGGAGGCTAAAACGTGTAAAGAATGGTTGCAGGAATTGGATATGTCTAGTCTAATGAAAAGAAGGACTAGGGGTGACATGATAGCAGAGTTCCAACATCTCAGGGGCTGCCCCAAAGAAGAGGGTGTCAAGCTGTTCTCCAAAGCACCTGAAGAAGCAATGGGTGGAAACTAATCAAGGATAGAAGTAACCTAGAACTAAGGAGAAATTTCCTGGTAGCTAGAACAATTAATCAGTGGAACAACTAGCCTCCAGAAGTTGTGAATGCTCCAACACTGGAGATTTTTAAGAAGAGATTGGACAACTATTTGTCTGAAATGGTATAGGTTCTCCTGCATGAGCAGGGCGTTGGACTAGAAGACCTTTAAGGTCCCTTCCATCTCTGTTATTCAGATCTTCACCCAAAGTCCATGAAATTGTCACTCCACCTTCTACTTCTTGCAGGGATCTTGTCTGAAGCACCCAGAACCCAGGTGGTCTTCAGCAGGTTCTGACCAGTTCTGGAGAACCGGGAGCGGAAATTTTGAGCAGTTCGGAGATTCGGCAAATACCACCTCTGACTGGCCCCGCCCCCATCTATTCTCTGCCTCCCGAGTCCCAGCTGATCAGCTGGGTCTTCCTTTGTTGCCCTGCACAGGAGAATGGAGCTGGAAAGCAGGTTAGTGGAGTGGGGAGGGGATGGAGATTTTGCAGTATCCTTCCCCTGCCACACCCACCAAGCAACGGCCACCAAGCAATGCCACACCCACAGAACCAGTAGTAAAAATTTTTGAATCCCACCACTGGTCATGTGTGGACTTCAACTTCAGCATCGCTGGAATTCGGGGAGTTGAAGGCCACACATCTTCAAGTTGCCAAGATTGACCTATACCATTTTATGCTAGGACTGGGGGGAAATGGCAATATCTTCCCAAAAATGCAAGTGCTCCTGTTGTGCTTTATCTATCCACCAATATAGAATTATCTTCTTAATGAAATATCCAATTCTATTCGATTTCTTCATTGACTGTGTGATACATCAGCTTCTAAGATATGTTAACCCTTAGTTGATTCCATTCTTTCTTCCATCTGCATAGTATATCCTGTGCCAACGGCTGCCACATAACTTAAACCGTCAAAGTGCCACTGTGGTTGGCAAGGTGTTCATCAAACACTTCAACCTTTTTTCCCTCAAATGCATCTTATTTCATGAAAGTCATGAAAGCTTCTGACTTTTAATAAAATTTGTTAATCGGAAGAAGTGCTATCAACTCCTGATTCTTGGCTACTGTACAGCTCTTCTGTAATATCTTGACTTGTAGGGTGTTAGTGGTTGAATAGTTCAGTTTTTATTTTATCAGCCCAAAGCGCTTTGTCCCAAACATTCCAGACTTATCAAATTTTTTGTTTTGCATTCCTTAGACTTTAATGATAAGCTGGAGAAAACATTTCCTTCTGTTAACTCTCCCATGAAGTTCCCTGTTATGGAAGCAATACTGTGCTGCTGATCTGTGGATAATTACTCCAGCGTGAGGTAAATTTTTTAGAACATTATTTAACCAGTTTTCAACCACTGTGGGGACAGTTCTAACAGAGGGTTTCTTGGTGTTCAAACTAATGCCTGATTTTCAGTGAAGCTGAAAAGAAGGTTGGCTATTTTATATGATAGTCCAAAACCAAATCTCCAGATCAATCGTGAAGTGAATGCTTGTACATTCAAGAGAAGGACTAAGGGTAACATGATAGCTTCTTTTCATATCTAAGAGGCTATCCCAGAGAATAAGGTGTCAACCTATTCTCCAAAGCACTTGAGGGCAGGACAAGAAGCAACGGATGGAAGACCATTGAAGAGAGATCCAACCTAAAACTAAGGAGAAATTTCCTAACAGTGAGAACAATTAACCAGTGGAACAGAAGTTGCCTTCAGAAGTTGTGGGTGCTCCATCACTGGAGGCTTTCAAGAAAAGATTGGACACCCATTTGTCTGAAATGGTATAGGGTCTCCTGTTTGAGCAGGGGTTTGGAGTCAGTGGTGGGATTCAAATAATTTAACAACCGGTTCTCTGCCCTGATGATCGGCTGGGTGGGCATGGCCAGGGGTGTGTGACAGGCAGCACTCGGCTTCCTGCACCCCCTGGGAGCAAAAATGGGCGGCAGAGGGGCTGTGCCACACCCACCCGCGGCCTGTTTTGGGCCTAGTAAGCCTCCCTGCACTTACCTAGGAGCCAAAATGGGGTGAGTGGGAACTTTTTGGAAGGGAGGGGAGGCGCCAGCCAGAGGTGGTATTTGCCAGTTCTCCAAACCAGTCAAAATTTCCACTACCAGTACGCCAGAACTGGTCTGAACCAGCTAAATACCACCTCTGGTTGGAGTAGTAGACCTCTAAGATCCTTTCCAACTCTGACATTCTATGTTCTATGTTGTTTACGGGAGAAAAAAGAGAAAGACTTGAATATTATTGAAAATATGTGAGTCAATCTCAAATGTGTGTATGCAGAGACCTACGAATATTTCTGAGCTAGAAGAGTTCTGGAAGGAAGAGAAGGGGGAAAAAATCCCTGCCTCTAAGCAGGCTACAGAAAATATATGGACCTTGTCCTTTCTGCTGAAGGAAGTGTTATGGAAGTATTGACCGAAACACTGTCTAAATTTTCTTGCTGTATTGTTTTCTTGTTTTGAAACTGTAAACAACTTCACATAAATGCTAATGCGGGCATGCAGTTTTGCAAAAAGACCATTGTGTTTAATTTTGTCCCATGTAGAGGCTAGGTCAACCACTGATCATTTTGGGATTTATTGAAACGTACAATTTGATATCCACTTTTGCACACAACTGTACAAAAAAAAAAAGGTGGGGGAGGAAGTGGGACAGGTTTTAAAGCAAGATGACAGACCAGCAGCCCAGATCTACAGAAATATCAAGTGAGCAGAAAGCCCCAAAGAAGCTCGTGTTAATGAAACACGCATAAGCAAACAATAAGAAAAAATTGTCCTTTAGTTATGGTTTTCTTAAGCCAAAGAAAGCTGCTCAGTGGAGATTATAAAATGGTAATTAGCTCAGTTGTCTCCAAGAAAAATGTATGTTCCACCAGGGAATTGTGAAGAGAAGAATGAAAGAGCAAGAATTAAACCCTGAGAATGATAGGATCACGATCAGGGAATTTATCTGAATTACTTTATACCTTCAAAGTCAGGTTATTGGTATTCCAGATTACTAGACTAAGTACAATATAGTAATGATATGGCTGAAACCTGTAAACGCTGATATATCTAAATGGAACAAAATTTGCAGAGAGTGGACCAAATTTCTGCTATAATTTGCATCAATTGCCTAATGATATATTAGGCAGATGACATAATTAATTCTATTTTTCTGTTTATTTATTTGCATATTTATAGACCACCCCAATCAACTAGGATTCCAGGCAACAAATAACATAACTGCTCTACACATAGTTAAAACCGTTAGTCCAAATAAAAATTAAATATACAAGGAACTCCTGGACAAACCCAGAAACAGATACTATGTAAACCTAAAACTACAGGTATTCCTTGACCTATAACCACAATTGAGCCCAACATTTTTGTTGCTAAACAAGACAATTGTTAAGTGAATTTTGCCCCATTTTAGCACATTTCTTGTCACAGTTGTTAAGTGAATCACTGCAATTGTTAAATTAATAACACAGTTGTTGAATTAATCTGCCTTTCCCATTGACTTTGCTTGTCAGATGGCCTCAAATGGTGATCATGTGACTCTGGGACACTGCAACCGTCATAAATATGAGTCAGTTGCCAGGCATCTGAATTTTGATCATATGACCATGGGGATGCTGCAACTGTGATAAATGGTCATAAATCACTTTTTTAGTGCCATTGTATCACTAAATGCACTGTTGTAAATTGAGGACTATCTGTGCTTGTATTGGAACGGTTATAGTAATACAACCAGAGGTGGTATTCAGCAGGTTCTGACCAGTTCTGGAGAACTGGTAGCAGAAATTTTGTGTAGTTTGGAGAACCAGCAAATATCACCTCTGACTGGCCCCACCCCCATCTATTCTCTGCCTCCTGAGTCCCAGCTGATCGGCTGGGTCTTCTTTTGCTGCCCTGCACAGGAGAACGGAGCTGGAAAGCAGGTTAGTGGGGTGGGGTGGAAATGGAGATTTTGCAGTATCCTTCCCCTGCCACGCCCACCAAACCACGCCTACAGAACTGGTAATAAATTTTTTAAATCCCACCGCTGAATAGAACCATGAAAGTCCAAATGTACTTCCCTTCCTGTCTCTTTATGTCCATGTGAAAAGCAGGTGACTGTCTATTTTCATAAACCACTTTATGATCATGACTTGTTTATCTGATTCTTGTTTTGTTAATAGATCTTCCTCTATACCAGCAGTTCTCGAAGTGTGATCTCAGGATCCCTGAATATCCCCGAGACCATTTCAAGGGATGCGCAATGTCAAATAAATAGAATTTAAACATTTCTTGCTTTTAATTTCTAATACAATAAATATGAATGGACATATCCCACGTAAACCAGAGCTCCTTGTGGCCCTCCATCATTTTTAAGAATGTAAAGGGGTCTTGAGACAAAAATGTTTGAAAAAATTGCTCTATATACACAAGGAAGTAAACGTCCGTTTGAGGGGGGCGGGTCAGTTCATTGGTCACCAAGAGTTTATTGGATACAGTTCAAAGTCCTGGCTTGATATTTTTGGGGTTGTGTGGAAAAACTGTTCTTGCTCTTCCTACTTACTGATGCTCCGATCTCTTGAGTGGGAATGGATCAACACAATACTGAGACAATCACCCGGTCCTTAATGTCAGAATGGGGCAATTCTCCACAACTGCTTTGACCTGGCTACTTCATTGCCATGCCCCACTACCGCCTCAGCTCACCCGCTGTGACCATTCCTCCCCTGCTACTCCTTCCCCTTTGCTCCTCCTTCCCACCACTTCTCCCCCTCTGATCCTTCCCTTGCCAAATTGCCCCGGCTCATTTGCTGTGCAGGACAATTACCTGTGCATCCCGACGGCCAATCATTGCACCGAGGAGTGGGTCTCTCTCTTCCCATTGGATGCGAGGCACAGAGAATGTACCAGGTGGGATGGGCCGCGACCTCGGGTGCCGGGTGTTTTCAAAAGGCTGGGCACTGAAAGGTGGGGGACCCAGTAGTTGTATAACCCCCTTAAAGAGGTGAAGGAATAGCTTTCAGGCTTCGGAGGGTTGATTTCAATACAGTTTGAGGACGCAAGATTGAGGAAAAATGGATAAATAATAACCTCAAGATATCATTCCTTCTTTTGGATAAAAGTCATTGAGAACATGTTCATGGTTTGATACTCCCTAGATTGGGCTACTAGCGGGAAATGCAATTAAAAACACGAGATTGAAACCAGGAAGTAATTTCGTGCTTACTTAAGCAAAGGATTACAGCGAGCAGGATGGGAAAGAAATTTTGCCTTGTCACCACAACACCTTCAACGAAACAGCTGAGCGTGACCACGACCAAGGTCAGCCTAATCATTGATTTTTCAGTTGGGTCTTAGGTTGAATTTACAAGTGGATGTTTCCTTTGTTCTCTTTCTCTTCCCCGCCACATCTCGGTAGAGATAAAAGCTGAACAACATTGTTGGCAGTGTTTGAACTAGGAGACCATTGGGATCCCCAAACTTGGCAACTTTAAGACTTGTGGACTTCAACTCCCCGAATGCTGGCTGGAGAATTGTGGAAGTTCAAATCCACAAGTCTTAAAAGTTGCCAAGTTTGGAGACGTCTTATTTACAAAGCTTTCTAGGTTCCTTGGCAGCCTTATGAATTGATATACTTGTCTAAAGAGCAAATAAATCATTAGATTAAGTGACAGTGTCAACATTCGATGGGTTGTAATATTTATTTTCACGAAATCAAGATGAGATTGTGATCGTTCGGAAAAGATCAAGGGAAATGAGACGCTGGCTGTTTTCTGTGTGTTTACAGCGAGCATACTTAGTTTGCTATGCATTATTGAATATATCCCTGAGAAAATCCCAAGCGGTAGTCCTCAACTTACAACTGTTTGTTTGGTCTTTAACGATGCTGAAAAAAGTGACTTACGGCTGGTCCTCGCACTTACAACCATCGCCGCAGCATCCCCATGGTCAGGTCATCAAAATGTTCGCACTTGACAACTGGAATGTATTTAGAAGAGTTGCAGCATCCCGTGGTCATGTGATCACCATTCCCGGTGACTTCTGACAAGCAAAGTCAATGGTGGAAGCTGGATTCGCTTAATGGCCACATGATTCACTTAACGACTGCAGTGATTCACTGAACAACTATGGCAAAAAAAAAGATCATAAAATTGGGCAGAATTCACTTAAGAACTGCTTTGCTTAACAATGGAAATTCTGGTCCCAATTGTAGTCGCAAGTTGAGGACTACCTATTTAGGCATTTTACTTCGGGCCTCAAAAATGTCATCTTCATTCGACCTTTGTGAGGTTCAATTATCCTATTTTGCACCTGAATTCCAAACCTGAAAAAGGGATAAGGCCACCGTTTCGCACTGTCCCAGTGATGTCATGGGCCACATCCCCAAGTCCTTCAGGCCAAATCACATTACAAAAAAGATTTTGAGACTTTGGAAGAAGTGCAGAAAAGAGCAACTCAGACAATTAAAGGCCTGGTGGCTAAAGCATTAAGAACGGTTGCAGGAACTGGGCATGTCTAGTTTAATGAAGAGAAGGACCAGGGGAGACATGATAGCAGTCTTCCAATATTTGAGGGGCTGCCACAGAGAGGAAGGGGTCAAGCTATTTTCTAAGGCACCTGAAGGCCAGACAAGGGAATAATGGATGGAAACTGAACAAGGAGAGATTCAACCTGGAAATAAGGAGAAACTTTCTGACAGTGAGAACAATCAACCAATGGAACAGAAGTTGCCCTCGGAAGTTGTGGGAGCGCCATCACTTGAGACTTTCAAGAAGAGACTGGACTGCCCTTTGTCAGAAATGGTGTAGGGGTCTCTCCTGCTTGAACAGGGGGGTGCACTAGAAGACCACCAAGGTACTTTCCAGCTCTGTTCTGATTTAAATCGGTATGGATCAAAGAAAGTGCAGCTCCAGGCAAAAGAAAAGGTGGCCATGTGTTTTAGAGGCATAAATCTTGTACATAAAATCAATTCCAGTTCTGCCAGAATGAGCAGAATGTGGCCTTGGTTAAGCATCTTTCCTTTTCTCTGTTCAACTTGTCTGTGAAATAGGATGACTACACAGCTTGCCTTGAGCAAGTTAGTCACTATCTGGTATTCCATATTTGCGTTGCTTATGAGAGTTATACTTACAGGTACTCCTCAATGGAGTCTGCATCTTATTATTATGACTTCAGATGCCAGCTCACCACAGATTGCTGCCCACTGCCCACTTTTGGCAGGATTTTGACAACCAAATAGAGGCAGGAAAAAAAAAAAATATCCAGAGAATCACTAGATGGCAAGAAAGAAAATTTCTTTATCGAGAGGGCTTCTGCAGTTTCACAGTTCAAAGAGGCTTTGGGAAAGCCATTACAGAAAAGATCTGCTGAGCATCTTTGTCCATGTGTACAGGTAGTCTTTGCCTAACAACTGGCCGTTCAAAGTTATGACGGATCCCACCCAAAGCTACTTACAATCCAGTTCTAAAGTTCCAATAGCTGCACAATCCCCCTTGGTCACATGGCCGCATTTTGGGCGTTTGGCAATCGGCTCACTGTCACCTTCAAATCAAACCTGCAGAACCTGCACCAAAGGTTGCTGGGGACGTACAATTTGGTGCCCTTTCATGCTAACCCCACCCTGAAAGTCAGGAGCTGTTTGTTAACTCTTGTTGGCCACCAGCAGCCAGTGGTGCTGGCAGCAGATTCGGACAGTGAGGAGGTTGGGGAGGAACATGGGCCAGTCCTGGAGTCTGGGGAAGGCTCTAATGAGTGCTCTGTGTCAGAGGCAGGGATGGGGCCAGGGCCATCATCAGCTGCCTTCAGAGTCGGAGATCAGTAGGGCAGAAGAACAGCTGGAGCCTGTTCCCGATATACACATGTGCAGAGCTGCCAGGAGAAGGGAACAGTTAAGGAACAAGGGTCGACTTGGAAGTAAAGACACAGGTGGACGGTGAATGGCCCCTCCCATAGGGAATAAATAGGAGTGAAACGAGAGTGGTATTTGCAAGAGACAATTAGTTCATTTAATTAGTGTGAAGATTTGTTTGTGACTCACAGAGACTCCTTGCCAAGTATTTTCTTGTACAGTGTTGCGCTTGGAAGCTATCAGCTTGGCAATTCTCCAAACCTGATAAGGTCTATGGTAGCAATTCACCCTTGAAAGACAGTTTACCGGGACTTTGCTGGATGTGAATGATGGGAATTCACATTAGCCTAATAAAAAGGGTTTTTGTCAGGACAAGAGTCTTGTTTCATGATTTTGTGAAGCCTAGGTGAGAACATCTCTCAGCCAGGGGTCCACCTGTAGGTTGGCTCTGAGTTTCTGGGTCAGTTCTCCATTGGGCTTGGTCAACCTCTCTTGGGCCTCAGAGTGACTTGTGCTGCCTTTTGAGGGAGCGGGATGATGGAGTTGACCACTTCTTCGTGATTGCTTTTGTATTGTGGCATTCAGGACAAGGTGTCTGCTAGGAAGTTCCTCCCCCCTGGAATGTACTTCAAAGTGAAATCAAATTGGTTAAAGTATTCGCAAGAGCTTTCTAGGGTTCTGCAAACTTTTACCGTCAGCTCCTCCCTTCATTCACCAAGATAGCCCTGCCAATCACCAAGCTGCTAAAGACAGGAAAAGGGGGAACCAAGCCATGGCCCAGCCAACTACTAGGATGGACCATTTTATTATTCCTCAGTTCTACAGCTGATCACAGTTTTCCATGATGGTATCACTATGATTTATGACATTTTTTGCTGATTTATGGCAAAAAACACCCATATGAATTTGTAACAGTAGCATTCACTTAATGATCCCAAAATTCACTTAACAACTGATACAAAAGAATCATAATAGGTGCCTTGGCTTATGACAGTCATGACTTATGACAAAAATTCCAGACCCCATTACAGTTCATAAGTTGAGGATAAGCTATATGTCAAAATAGAGTAGAAGGGAAACTAACAAAACTTTTGTCTTACATGAGATTTGGAAAATGTTTTGGGAAGGTATCCCCAAATTCCAGAAGTTGTTCTCAATTTTAGCAACTTTTAAGATGTGTGGACTTCAAACTCCCATAATCCACCAGCTAATTGAAATCCACACATTGTAAAGTTGAACAGGTTGAGAAATAATGCTCTAGAAAACTAGAAATTTATCTAGATGCTAACTTGTTATGTTATTTGCATCATATATATTTTTATGCTTGATTGTAAGTAATCCCAGGAAATTTTTTTCTAAAGAAAATTTGGAAGCTTTAGTATAGGGAAATTCAGGTATAAACATGGAGACCTGGGC